GAACCGCGCCCGTCCTGTCGGTTTGGGAAGAGAAAAGCAAACGTAATCGTCGGCGCGTCTCCAGCTGCACGCAGGGCTTTACGCAGGTAAAAAGGATTTGTGCTGATGTGGCCCAGCTTCACCCTGAGTGAATTTAGCTTCTTGGTCTATTAGTAAGGTATTAACCATCAGGTATGTTTGTAGGAAAACCGGAGGGAGGGAAGGATTTAGCCGCCTCTTCAAGTACGGGGCAGATAGCAGACATCAGAGGGGTGAAGTAACGTTGTCGCTTGAGAAACCCCGGCGTTTTGGGAGCAAGCTTGTGTGAATCGTCCTCCATTCTACTTGTTCCAGGTAACTAACTCCTTATAGGCCAATTACATCGTTACTTTGGTAGCCAGCTAGGAGCGTTTAACAGGGAGACAACTCACTGAAAAAGAAGGGATCTGTCTGTGTCTGTCCGCACACACGCACTCAGCCTCCGACTGTATCAGCACCGCGAAGCAAATCAGAAGTGTCCCATCGCTGCAAAATGCAGGCTGTCCACAAGGCAAGCTGTTTTCTTTTGTCGTTGTTATTCAAGAACGTGAAACCGGCAGCAAAACCTTCCGTGATGTGCTGCGTTTTCAGGAAATGGTCCTGGTGAGGGGGACTCTCCAAGGATATTATTTGCATTTGCCGTGAGGAGTTTAAAAAAACCCATGGATTTTGGTGGCTGCTGTGATACGCACTTTCTTTTCCTACAAAATTCTGTCACAGCATTTGAGATGGGCATTCTGATCGATCCAGGAGACTCTTCTGCGTTAATACTGAAGATGCTATTTTGTTGCTCCTTCCTATTCTCTTAAAGTCGTTGAAGTGCACGGGTGGTCTCCAAGTGGCTCTTGAGAGAACACTACTTAAAAGTTCCTGTATGACGGACAATGTTCACGTTAAACAAAAAAGTTGGGGAGGGGGTTGTTCCGTTGCAGTATCTGTTCTGTGAAGTTTGTTAAACGTAAAGAAAGCTTAAGTTCTTGTATCTTAAAAGAAGATCTTATTTAACCCTTTTGTGTTCTAGATTTACTTACACATGTAGCCTAGAGCTCAGTTTTAGTTTAACATTGTGAAAATATTAAAAGAACCTTGTAACTTTATTCTTTTTCCTCCTGCTAAAAAAAAGAAAAGGCAAAATTAAACCAATCAGATTAAAGTTTGAATTCCTTTCTGCCTATTCCAACAGGTCTTGCTATTTTGCACCATTTCTGTCACAAGTTCATGTAAGAAATTAACAGGGAAAATAAAATACCAGCGTTAGACCAGTAAGTTCAAGCTGAGTCTACAGTTGGCGGAAGGTGGATGGATAATGTTTCCATTTGGAAGGGGAGGATGATATTTCTGCTGGGTTCAAGTTTAGTCATTCATTTTGCAAGCAAACCTGGCTAAACCTGCTGTAGCCTTCGTATTGGTCCGCGTGATTCTGAGGTTAGATACAGTAATCCGGTGAACTGCCAGGTGCCCTGTGCCATTGGCGTCAAAGTTATAAGACGTCTTAACTGTTCTTGCGTGCATTTTGACAACTTCTGCACCCAGAGCAGCTGTGTTCCAGATTGTACTGGGCTGCGTTCATAGTGGATAAGTAGAGGTGTAACTATTGTTTCTTAATTATTTAGATGCTAGAAACGCAAGGCTAATTAAAAAAAACAATGGAATATATTAGAGGGAGAGAGAATATGAAGATGCTTATTTAAAAACAGTTTTGAAAACTGCTTGGAAATGAAAGCATGCCTGATTCTTGGGACACCCACACCCATTTTTTTCCTCAAATTAATACAGTGTTTTCAATTATAAAACTATGTGTGATTCTGGGACAAGATGGCTGTTTTATAGTAAAGGTAAGTTATGTACAACAGCTCTGCCTTCTCATCAAGCTTCAAACCTGTAGCTGGGTGCGTGCCAAGGCTTCGAGGAAGAATAAGAATGGCCCTCTGTGCCAGAGCCTGTCCTCAAGCGCACTGGTTTCTGTTTGGAAGCGGTTTAGCGTCTTGAATGAGAAGCCGCGTTGACTGTACAGCGAGGTACCTGAGAACGTGAACTACCCGTCAGTGCTACACAGGCGACACCCTGAAAAGAGCCCTGGTGCAATTTTAGCAGTCCAAAAGTAGCGTTAGCTGCTTTTACTTACTCCGTGGAAGTTGATAAATACATTCAAAACTTGAATTTTGCATGACTGTCTTCTCTTGGACAAGTTGTAACCCCCTGGCCTCCTGAAGACAATGTTCCGTTTGTGTTTAACGTTGTACTCCTTGTGGTGGTCGGCTCATTCTACAGCGAGACAACGGTTCCTTCTGCGGCTGTGCTCCTACTTAGGTGTAAGTCTCTAAGGGATAAGAGCACTTTTTAAAATCTCGCAGTAACTGTTTCAGTGCACAAACTCACCAGGGAAGAAAACTGATAACGAAGGTGTCATAGAAGTATAGGGTTGATAACGGGCTCCGAGAACGCACCAGCGGAACGGCTTGGAGCGCGGGCACTGTCAGTTGAGGCCTACGCAGCTAAGCGCCCAGACAAGCGCATTCACGTTCTCTTTGCTGGAGTGTAGTTAGGGGGATTGTCAGTCAGCAGTGGCACGGCAAAGAGAAGGTCTAATTGAAGTAATCCCTTAACGTCACAATGAGATTGTAGCCGATTCATGTTGGAAATAACTTTGTATGCTCCTGGGAACTTTTCTACCTAGAAAACAAATGGAAACGCTTAAGACAACACTACTTAAAATGAGCTGTATTTATTAGCACCAGATGGTGACTTCGTCACTGGAATACCTGATGAGGCGTCTGCGCCCAGAACACACAAAACAGAGGCAGTAGGAAGCTGCGGATCAGCGCCAAAGCCGATGGGGCAGGAGCTGCTGCACGCGGATACAGTTCTAGCGTAACCTGGTCGCAGTCGTAGGCTTGGCCGATACTCGCTCTGTCCGTCTGTACGTTGCTGCACAAAGGGCCGCCCTGGGACAACCGTGCGTAACGAAACTGTTCACAGAGGCTCGGAGCACACACTTTACGTGGTGAACTTATGCAAGAGTGGGCTTTAGCAGCAGCTTTTCCAGGAGAATGAACCTCTGTGCTGCTGGAAAGAGCCACTTCTAAGTAACGGCTCTCAAAGACACCGGTGAGGACACACTTTCCTTACTCTTCCCAGTCTTCATTCACTTTTCCTTCCGTTGGGCACTCAGCCCGTGCAGCCGGGCGCGTGGAAGCAGTTCTGCCTGAACGTTGCTCCTTTGGGCTTTTTGGTACTCGCCACGGGGATAAAAAAAGCGTTGCCTTTGATTTTTCTTGCAAGCCTCTTCACATTAGTTCAAGCAGATTAAAATACGGGTGTTGGTCTGCAGGAGCGACCACCCCCTTGTGCATTTCACTACAGCGACAGGCTAGTTCCTCAGCGGCAGCGTAATGCAGACAGGGTTTACGTGTTCTGGATGTTAGGCTATGGGGATTTTGAACTTCAGTTCTGTGATACTGTTCGTATACACCTTCCTGTAAATGCCACGTGCCTCATCTTCCACTCTGGAGCGGAGTCGGGAGGAAAGGCGGCGTGAAAGCAGGAGGCGGAGGATGCGGATTAACGAGTGCTCCCTGATCACATCCACCTCCCTCTTCAAGTCAGCTCAGATCGTAAAGGGGTAAAGGGGCAAATAAGTACTTGCCAAACAGCACCAACATTCTGACTTGGTACTACCGAAAACTGTTGTGCTTTATCTTTGTGAATATACCTGTGTAGAGTTTGAGTCAATTCTGCAACATATATGTTATATGCAAAGAAACGAAACAGGACTGTCATAATTAGAAAACATTTTTGATGGATTATTTAGTAATAACTACATATTTTGCTATAGGACCTTCCTATTTTGCAATATGCTGCTATTTTCTTTGGAAGAAAAACAAGCAGAACTTTATAAGACTAACTGTAAACAATTTCAAACTCAATATGTGCATCTGAAGCATTAGGAAAAGATTACTGAAATTATATATAGTTTTTAAAAGATGATGACTGCATCCTCTAACAAAAGGGTTTTGTTCTTCAGGTAGTAGCAAGCGTTGATAGCAAAGGTTTAACCGTCAGCAGGATGTTCCTTTCTGCGAGGTTTGTGCAAAGCTAATAACATGCAATAGGATGCTGTGAGTTAATAACTTGTAGCACGGTGCAGTGACTGTGTAAGTAATGAGAATAAAATTATAGAGACCTACTCTTGGCTGTCGGCTCTCCCTTCGCACCACAGGGCAGGAGGCGGCACTCACCGTTTCCTCGTGGCTTTACTCCCTTTTAGTCTGTGAGTTGCAGAAGACGCTTCCCTCTACCAAGCATGCTTCGGGAGGACGGAAAACCGCCTTCTAACTGGAGCTCTGAACACTTCAGGGTTTTCAAAGGAAAGAAGAAAGTGGACACTGTGGAAAGCAGAGTGTTGAGGTCATCCACCGCATCAGGTGCATCGCCAGAAGGAGCTCTTCAGGGTGCTCAGTCCTCTTGGAAATGTGGGGGGGTTTCTCCTCTTTAACTATTCAGGGTCTCTTTGAAGCAAAGGAGCAACCCTTAATGCCATGTTTGGGTTTTTTTTTTTATTATCTTTTGAAAGGAAGGCTGCATGATCAGCACCTCCCCATTAAGAAACCTAAATGAGAGATTCATTGTTAACTCCTCTAGTGCTTCGTCTCGTCTCTCTACTTTTCAAAGGAGCAAATACATGCAGGACTGTTAGAGGAGGGGGAAGAGAATCTGAGCCCTTTGCTAGATAAGCTAAATTCAGAGTTCATGCTCTATTCTAGCAGTAGTTTGGGGTTGGTTGGTTTGTTTTCTGCTCCCCTTCTGCAGTGTTTAAAGTGCACCACATTCACTTCA